ACCCTGTGAGGCTGAGAGAGACAGTGACTGGCCCCCAAGGTCATATCCAGGGAGTTTCATGGCCGACTGGGGGATTTGAACCTTGGTCTCTGAGGTCCTAGTCCTGCACTCTAACCACTACACCACACTTGCAACCAGCTCAGAATCTGCTGTCATCCTCCTCCTCCTTAATCTGATTTCACCCCCCCCCCATAGAACTCAACAGGAAGCAGTATGGGGACAAAACCAGACTTCAGTTGGCTCTGCCTCTCATTGTCTTTGGCTCTGTCTACTGTTGGGCTTGAGCAGATATATAAGAAGCGTTGCCATGTGTCCAGAATTTCCCAAACATAGCCAGGATTCGGCCATTGGAAACAGTGGAAAGTGGAAAGATTTCGCTTGGGGGGGAAAAAAAGTTCAGCAACTGTGTTGTGTCCAGATTTTCACTTTTTGAAATATGGCGACCCTAATACAACTGCTAGCGGATTTGCCAAGCTAAGCAAGGTTTGGTATGGTTTCGTGCTGAGATTCCTGGGAGCTGTAGTTCGCAAAGGGTGCAGAGAGTGGTTAGGAGACTTCTACTTACCTCCCAGAGCTACAGTTCCTAGCGTTTCCTGTGACGAGGGATTGATCTTTAAATCGTTTTGGGAATTGTGTCTCTGCGAGGAGAGTTGGGGTGTCTCCATGCAACTCTCAGCACCCTTAGCAAACTGCAGCTCCCAGAATCCTTTGGGGGGAGCCATGGCTGTTTAAAGTGGCATCATTTTAAACATGTGGTGTGAATGTGGCCCAGGACGCCAATCCTAACCCCTCTTGCCGGGCATGTTGAAAGGGAATGCTAGCTTGTTAAAGAGGCTGAGAGTTGTCAGGAGATCTGCACCCAGCGTGTGAATGTCGTTGGACAGGACCCTTCTCCCAAATTCCTCCCCTACCCCTTTCTCGCCTCTCCTTCCACACCCAAGTGTCCCCTCACCCTTTTTCTTTTCCGGAGTTGTTTTCTTCCCTTGTTGAAGCTGGCTGGCTCACACTAAGCTCCCCACCCCGCTTGCCCTATCCGGGTTTTGTCAGCATGCAAGATCTCTGGCCGTCTCCTCGGAGGTCTCTCTGGACACCTTGACGAGACCAAATCCACTTTCTCCCGCCTGGCCAGTGATGGTTGCTGCAAAGAGAATTAACAGAAGATCGGTTACCATTATGGTTAAGCTCTTACCCCCCCCCGCCCCCCCAGCACAAAAAAAGCCTCTTGTGAAGCTTGAAAACAGCTGAGCTTTCATTCCAAAGCAGCAAGGCACCTCTGTGCTTTCTCTCTTCCTCCCACCCCCAAAAATGTTTCTTTAAATGTTTATTTCAAAGAAAATTAGAAGCAGAAAAATCTCTTGCATCTGGGATAGTTCTGGAAATGGCTTTCTTGGTGTGTGTTTTTTTTTAAAAAGGTGGCTCAAGGGACATGTTTGGGGAAGTAATTGCCCCTCCCTGATACCATTTTTAAAACTTTTTTTTAAAAAAAGTTTTATGCATCTACAAAAAAAAAACAACTTCAATATGAACGCAAAGTCAACAACAGATATATACCGTATTTTTTGCCCCATAGGATGCACAGGCCCATAGGACACACCTAGTTTTTTGGGGGGGAAATAAAGAAAAAAAATCCCCCCCCCAGGCACGGGGCTGGGGCGGGGGAAGCCCGATCTTCCCCCGACCCCAGCCCCCAGAACAGGCAGCTCTCCGCAAGCCTTGGGAGACCGGCGTGGCTTCCTGCTGGGCTCCCACGGCTAGCGGATATCTGCCTGAAGCCCAAACCAAGTCGGGGAACTGCGGGATGGCGGCGCTGCACCTCCCCGCTATCCCCCGAGCTTGTCGGGCTGGCGGGGGGGAGAAGCGCGCTTCTCCCCCCCGCCAACCTCCAAACCAGGTCGGGGGACAGTGGGATGGCGGCGTTCCGCCTCCCCGCTGTCCCCCGAGCTTGTGCAGCTGGCGGTGGGGAGAAGCGCGCTTCTCCCCACCGCCAGCCTCCAAACCAGGTCGGGGAACCGAAGCCTGGGGCGCGCTGTGCAGCGCGCTCTGTGCTTCAGGCTGCAGGCTGCTGCCCGCAAGCCTTGCGAGCCCGCGGGAACTCCCACCGGGCTTGCAAGGCTTGTGGATAGCTTCCTGAAGCCTGCCCTCTTTCCCCCTGCAAGACTGATACTGTCAGGATCGCATCAGCTATGAGCTGTGGTGTTTTCAGACCATCGAGCGAGGCAAGCTACAAGAGTGTTTAGCTGTTGAAGCGATTATTGTAGCTTAGCAACGGAAAGAGTTGAAGTGGGGAGGGAGACACACACCCTGTTCTCTGAGTTTTTTTAGCAATATTGGATGAGACCTTTTTTCCTTTTTAACGGGAACAGCTAATTTTTTTAAAAAGTCCAGGAATCTCTCCAGCCTCCAGAAAAGACGGAGCGAGAGGGATCTTGGCATCCCTCTAGTATGCTCAGGGAACAATGACGGAATAAGCCACTGGAGTTTAGGTTCTGCTGGAGGAATTCCTGCTGTGTTGTTCCCCCTCCCCCCCCCAAAAAAAATAGTCTTTAGGAATTTCAGCATGCCTTGTTTGGATCTTCCATTTTTACATATCTTAGGGACCAAGCTAGGGTAGCTGCTAGAGACTGACAATTTGATTTACCGTATTTTTGGCTCTATAAGACTCACTTTTTCCCTCCCCAAAAGTAAGGGGAAATGTGTGCGCATCTTATGGAGCGAATACAGGCTGCACAGTGATCCCTCTTGCTGTTCTGGTTTCTGAGGTTCAGAATATTATTTTTTCTTGTTTTCCTCCTCCAAAAACTAGGTGCGTCTTGTGGTCTGGTGCGTCTTATAGAGCTAAAAATACGGTCCTCTTTCCACTTTCAAAGGCAGCCCCATATACATTGCACAGCAGTAGTCTAACCTGGAGGTTTCCAGTGCCATAGGTTGCTGTGGTCTGGTGGCGCTGGGTGGCAGTCTACCTTCCACGGTTGCTGTAAGAACTGCTGGGAGAATTCAGCCTGCAAGGCTGAGAGGAAATAACCACTGCTCATGACTAGAAAGTTGGACCATTTATCGAAAGCATTTATATGCCACTGCTTAGCCAGAAAAGCTTACAGAGCTGCTTACAAATCAGTCTAAATAACACCAGCTTGCATTCTGAAAGGACGTGACACAAAAGGAAAAATGGATAAGGTGGGGAGAGGAAAAAAGAAGGAAAGTTTATCCTTTGCTTTCCCCTGCAGTAGTCCAAATGACACATACTTCTTTCCATCAAGGCATTGTTTCCCTTAACTTCCCCTGCCCCATGGACCACTCAATTTTTTTTTGTTCTGCCTGTTAATAACAATTGTCCTACCCTGTACTAGATGCTGTATGTTTTGAGGGTTTTTTGAAAAATTATTGCTTCTTTTATTTCTCGTATTTTAGTGTGTTGCAGTTTGAATTCCATACAGTTCAGATTGTAAGTGTTTATTCGCTGACACAATGCTGAATGAAGCTTGCGGGTGTTGAATTGCATTGTTTGGTTGCAGCAGAGCACTTGGTTTCAGAAAGACAGCAGCTGCAGCCTCCCAGCCTAGTAAGAACTTGGGTTTGATGCGACCTCAGCATCAATCCTTTTAGTGAATGGAGCAAATGTGGAGCTTATTTCCCCCACTTGATCTTCTTGGCTGCCTGGTTCCCCTTCCTTCTCCACCCTCCTCCGTCTCTTCTCTCTCCCTCTCTCTGGCAAAACTGACCTTTTTTTTCTCTTGACCCCCCTGAGATCCAGCTGCGCAGGCCCTCTCCAGCTCACTTAAGCATCTGAGCTGCTGCCACATCGCTTGACTTGCAACAGGAGGAGAAACCCGCTCGCCTGTCTCCCAGCCAAGGAAAGCTGATGCAACCCCAGCCGCCCTTCCTCTGGGTCTCAAGGGCTGCAAAGCCCGGCCAAATAAACAGAAGGCTTTAGCCGCCTTTAAGTGGACACTCCGTCCAGAGCCTTTGCAAACACATTCCGAAGCTCCTCTAAAGACTGCGGAAACTCCATAAAAAAAAACCCTTTTGGCTCTGGAAATGTTTTAAAGTGCAGTCCTGCTGTTGTCAGGGTGAGCGATTGGTTGAGTGAGGGCTGCGTTTTCCAGAGTGTGGCCTTCCCCGCAACCCCACCTTGCTTCAGCTCCTGCAGCTGAAGTTTTACGAGGATGAACTGACCACCTGGCAGGGCTGTTGTCTTTGCTCATGAATCAATTCTGAATGAATCTGCACATGGCTCATACAATCATGTTGGTGGAAGGCCAGCGGTTTCAAATGGTGCGTTTTTAAGTATCACCGCCATCCGACATGATAGAATCTTATGCATGGAATGGGGAGAGTGGCCAGAGAACAGCTTGCACATAGTTAAACAATGGAACTTCTTGCCAGAGGAGGCAGCAGTGGCCCCCAGCTTGGATGGCTTTGAAAGAAGATTGAACAAATTCATGGAGGATAAGCTATTGATGACTACTGGCTGCAAGAGCTATGCTCCACTCCCATTGCTGGAGGCAGTTAGTACATGCCTCTGAATACCAGTTGCTGCCATTCATGAGTGGGCAGAGTTGTTGTTGGGCTCAGATTCTGCTTGTGGGCATCTGATTGGCCACTGTGAGAAGACTAGGTGCGCCATTGGCCTAATCCAGCAGGTCTCTCCATTTGTTCTTTTTACCTTATTTTTTAAAATTTTAATTTATCATACCTGGCGCCACTTGGGGCATCTAAGAAACCCAAAATAATCCATGTGGTTTTGAATTCGTTTATTAAAATCAGCGCTGCTTTGAACAGTTCCGCGCACCATCTCAATTCAAAATGGCCTCTGGTTGTAACCGGAAAAGCCAGTTAGGTCCCTGCCGCAAGGAGCTTACAGTCTGAGCTTTTGAACCATGAGGCAGCAACTGGGAGGAGGGAGAGTGGAAGGGGCAAGAGGATTCTAAGTATAACTTCACTCCTTGTTTTTGCAGTTCATTACCACATCTCTCTCTCTCTCTTTTCCCCCCTCCCTCCAGTTGAAACTCTGGAACAAGTTCCGAGTGTCCAACATTCCCTCGCTGATATTTATAGATGCCACTACGGGAAAGGTTGTGTGCCGGAACGGCCTCTTGGTAATTCGAGATGACCCAGAAGGTAAGGCTGTGTGTTTAATGCTCTCGCTTGTCACGCCAAAGGGAATCTTTGCATCATTGCCTCTCGTGGGTCACGGTTGCCCTTTTCTGAGAGCATGGCAGAGACTGAGGCAAGCCGATGCACTCAGGCGAACCTCACCGAAGACTTCTTGGAGGCATAGGAAGCTCCAGCTCTTCTCCTAAGAACAAAGCAAGATTCCAGTCCTCATTGTTCGGAATTACAGGCTGATTTAATTAGAATCTCAATATAAGGAGTGGTTTATCTAGCTCAGTTTTGTCTACACTGACTGGCAGCAGCTCTCCAAGGTTTGGGGCAGGGAGTCTTTCTCAGCCCCACGTGGAGATGCCATTGAGGATTAAGTGTGGGCCAATTGCCTTCTCCATCTCCTGGGCCATTGTGAGGGTTTAAGCAGTGCTTGGCAACTGAACCATATTTATTTCCCACAATGCACTTTCCTGCAATGACACCAGTCTTGGGCCTGCATGATGGCAGACACCATTTGGGATTCTCATTTGGGGGGGATACAGGTCGAGACAGATGGGGTGCTGCTGTGATGTTGTTAGTCGTTTCTCTGCTTTATGCTGTGCTCCCGCTCCTGCTCCAGGTTTGGAGTTCCCTTGGGGGGCCCGGCCATTCGGCGACGTGGTTGCTGGGCCTCTCCTCCGAAATAATGGCCAGACCCAGGAGAGCAGCAGCCTCGAGGGCTCCTACGTTGGCGTTTACTTCTCTGCACACTGGGTGAGCTATGCTCTTAACTTTACCACTTTGGGGGGTGTGGGTGGCGAATGGAGCTCAAGGGTGCATGCGAGCATGTGCAGAGTGCCTTCCCCTTACAACTGAGTCATCACAAGCAGAGCCATGTATCGACTAACGTAGTGATGAATTATAAGTAAAGAATAATCAGTGATCATACAGTAATACCTCGGGTTACATACGCTTCAGGTTGCGTGTTTTCGGGTTGCGCACCACACCAAACCCGGAAGTACCAGAATGGGTTACTTCCAGGTTTCGGTGCTTGCGCATGCACAGAAGTGCTAAATCGTTCTTTGCGCATGCCCAGAAGCACTAAATCGCGACCCACATGTGTGCAGATGCAGCGCTGCGGGTTGCGAACGTGCCTCCCGCATGGATCACATTTGCAACCCGAGCGTCCACTGTAATGGGAAGAATTCTATTTTTAATTAATAGCGGGGATTTTTGTATGGTTTGTGACTCAGAAAGTTTTGTTATGATTCGGACTCCTTTTGTACAGCAGCTGTGACTGCCAGCATCCCTCAACAATGTACCTCGGGTTAACTACTCAATTCGTTCCGGAGGTCCGTTCTTAACCTGAAACTGTTCTTAACCTGAAGCACCACTTTAGCCAATGGGGCCTCCTGCTGCTGCCGCACCGCTGGAGCACAATTTCTGTTCTCATCCTGAAGCAAAGTTCTTAACCTGAAGCACTATTTCTGGGTTAGCGGAGTCTGTAACCTGAAGCGTATGTAACCTGAAGCGTCTGTAACCCGAGGTACCACTGTATATGAAGTGCATTTGGAGTGTTTTCATACAATCCTAGCATTGTAGAGTTGGAAGGGACCACAAGGGTCATCTAGTCCAACCCCCTGCAGTTCAGGAATCTTTTGCCCAACATTTGTTAAATCCTTTATTTGCACCGGCTTTACCTGTGCTGAAGCTATACCTACTTAAGTCATTTTGGGCATGTAGAGAGCCTGAAGGGGAGAAAAGCACTTGCTCCCAGCTGCCCAAACCCTTTCCCCGTAGGCAATTCCCACTCGCCATGAGGCTGCCTGTGTAATAGTAATGTACCACCTTCCCCGTGCTATTTCTTTTGCAGTGCCCACCCTGCAGAAGCCTCACCCGGGTACTAGTGGAATCCTATCGTAAGATCAAGGAATCCGGTCATAAATTCGAGATCGTCTTTGTCAGCGCAGACAGGTAAGAGCTGCCTCTCTGCCATTGGAACCAGCTCCTGCTACGCTTGCTGGGGAAGGGACAGGGCGTGGGGGTGAAAGGCGATCGGCTATTGGCCAGTCAGAATGGATTGGCACGTGGTCCATGGCACTGGGGAAGCGGGTGCCAGAAGCAGGCGGGACAGCAGCAGGGGCTGTATGTCATTAGCGGAGCTCTGAGTGTGGAATCAAGCATTCTGAGAGCCTCAGCATTTGGTTTTCTTAAAGCACAGTTTCTAGTCCCTAAGATACAGTTCAAAGGTGCGTGTGATCCATTGCCGGGTGAAATGTTAAGTTACAGAGCTCTGGCCCTTGACACATATTTTCCCAGGCTTGTTACCTGTTGGAGAGGTTCTGTGTCCTCACTACAGAGGTGCCAAAGTTTAGTTCCTAGAAGGTAATCAGGGATTGGTAAGGCAGGCATGGAGAGAGAGAGAGAGAGAGAGAGAATTTGAGAGCAGAGCCAGAAACACCCAAGGAAGAGCTTGCAGAACAAGGGAAGCATCAGGGGGGTAAAGGACCCCTGACCATTAGGTCCAGTCGTGGCCGACTCTGGGGTTGCGGCGCTCATCTTGCTTTATTGGCCGAGGGAGCTGGCGTACAGCTTCCAGGCCATGTGGCCAGCATGACTAAGCCGCTTCTGGTGAACCAGAGCAGCACACGGAAATGCCGTTTACCTTCCCTCCGGAGTGGTACCTATTTATCTACTTGCACTTTGTGCTTTCGAACTGCTAGGTTGGCAGGAGCTGGGACCGAGCAACAGGAGCTCACCCCGTCGCGGGGATTCGAACCGCCGACCTTCTGATCGGCAAGTCCTAGGCTCTGTGGTTTAACCCACAGTGCCACCTGCGTCCCATCAGGAGGGTAGTCAGGAGCAAAGGAAGGGATGGAATCTATGCAACAAATGGCTCTCAGCTGCAGATTAACAAAACCCATCCACAGTAAAAGGAATTCGAAGACAGCAGCAGATACCAGTAAAGTTGGGTGTCCTTTTCCAATGAGTTGCAGTGTGGCTTTGAGACCAGGGGTCCTGCTCAGCTCCTGGCGTTCGAATCCAAACTCAGCAGACAACCTTAGCACTACATTTCCATTGTGCAAGGCTATTCTTTGGTGGCCTGTTCCTGTGGCTTTTAGAATCCCTGTGGGACTTCCTAGGCAGTATTTTTATATATCCCACAATTTGACAGTTGTTGGGTTTTTTTAGAAACTCTGCATCCCATTCACCCCTGCCTTATTTATATATACAGTATATGAAGAAGAGCAAGTTTCTAGTCCTCATTACAGTGGGGAAAGTACACTTGGGGGCAGGGAACCATGTGAGCAGTGCCATTGCTGGAGTGTCTGGCCCCAGAGTGATGGATGGATAAGTTTCCTTAGTATCAACCATAGTATGGCTGTTAAAGGTAAAGGGACCCCTGACCATTAGGTCCAGTCATGGCTGACTCTGGGGTTACGGCGCTCATCTCGCTTTATTGGCCGAGGGAGCTGGCGTACAGCTTCCGGGTCATGTGGCCAGCATGACTAAGCCGCTTCTGGTGAACCAGAGCAGCGCACGGAAACGCCGTTTACCTTCCTGCCGGAGTGGTACCTATTTATCTACTTGCACTTTGACGTGCTTTCGAACTGCTAGGTTGGCAGGAGCAGGGACCGAGCAACGGGAGCTCACCCCGTCGTGGGGATTCGAACTGCCGACCTTCTGATCGGCAAGTCCTAGGCTCTGTGGTTGAACCCACAGCGCCACCCGCATTACGCTTTTATAAATCATAGGGTGCACACAGTTTGCCCTGCCTTGCTGCCTGGCCAGCCCCTGTGCCATATCCACAGCACCGATCAGCTTCATCCCCCTTTGCAAAGAGCAGATTTCACAACAGCAACCCTGTGAAGGCTACTGCAACCAGACTGCTTTTGCCCGCTGCAGTCCAGACCTCGTTCCGCACTGCAGGGTTGGTGTTCCACCTGGAAAGGGTAAAAGGCTGCCTCCTTTTGCTTCACCCCCTCCAGGTCAGAGGAGTCATTCAAGCAGTACTTCAGCGAGATGCCCTGGCTAGCCGTCCCGTATGCTGATGATTCTCGGCGCTCGCGTCTCAACCGGCTCTACGGAATCCAAGGTGGGACAAAAACCCTCTCTGAAAACTAAGGATTGCATGTGTCGTGCATAACATACTTGTGGCCCTTGCTAGAAAAGGTGGTGCCAAAATAAAAAGGTCATTGATAGGTTTAGTATTGACATGTAATGTTCATGTTTCCTTATATCCCAGTTATTGGGATATTTGTGTAAAACTCTTATAAAATGTTTACTTGTATGGAATTCTTATAAATGTCTTAAAGTAAAAAACAACAACCCTCAACTTTGCTTGCAGAAGGTTCCAGATTCGATCTGGAAAGCAGCGATCCCTCTTGCTGTTCTGGCTTCTGGGATAGCTGCGCAGCCTGCAGTCACTCCTTAAGACGCACACACATTTCCCCTTACTTTTTAGGAGGGAAAAAGTGAGTCTTATAGAGCAAAAAATACGGTATTTAATTCCAGCGCTGCGCACAAGTTGGTTGCATGTAAGTAGGGAGGACACCTGCAGCCCAAAATATGGCTGTGCCAGCTGGGGCTGATGGTTGCTGGAGTCCAAAGCACCTGGCAGGGGCACCAGGCTGAGGAAGGCTATGCTAGAGATGTTCCAAGCTGGCTGCGTGTGTCTGGTTCTGTTTTCCTTCCTGAGTAGGGAAATGACAGGCTTTCTTGTTCCTCTGGCCTTGTGCCCTGGAGGTGGTTTTTGCTTTAACTTTAATTTTTTTCTGCCCAAAGGAAAAAGAAAATCAAATCTGCAGGAGGAAATTGTACACAGACCCCGAGAGCTTAATTTGGGGAGTGTCTGAAAGCTCCCATTCACAGCGCTGGGGAAGGGAGGGCTCCACCCTCTTCCCCACAAGCCCCGGACCTTGGGAAGGGCTGTAGCTCACCGAAGGAGCATGTGGTTGTGCAGGCTGAAGGCCACCAGTTCTGCATCTGACATAATCTCCCTTTAAAAGAATCAGATGGCAGGTGGTGGGTTAAAGACCCTTCTCTCTCTGAGACCCTGGGGGAGCCATTGCTAGTTCCTGTAGACTTGCGGGGTGGGGGGTGGGAATAGACCACCATGTTGAACTACAACTTCCAGCATTCCTCTCTGTTGGCCAAGCTGCCTGGGGCTGATGGGAGTTGGAGTCCAATAACATCTAGAGAGAATCTTGAGCTAGATGGGTCTGTGATTTGACTCTGTAGAAGGTCACTTTCTAGGTTCCTATGTTCAGGGTTGCCAAAATAATTGCAAAAAGGGAAACTTTTTCAGCCTGAGGGCCACTTTGCTTTCTGGACAAGCTTCTGGGGGCCGTGTGCCAGTGGGGGGCAGAGCCAGAGGGGAAGGTGGGTGGAACAACAAATAAAAAAAATTGTACAGTGGGCTAGTTTATAGACACCCACCCCTCTTAAATTCTCCATCCAAGCAAGCAAAGAGGCATGTTCAGAGTTCAATTGGCACATTCTCAGCACAGCAAAAATACTGAATCGGGGACAGTGAGGGCTGTGACCTGTGAGGGAGACCCAAGGGCCAGATAGAGAGGTCTGGAGGGCCGCATTCATTCCCTGAAAATAAGGTTAGTCAGAGATCTTTTGCCTTTTGCTAGAGCCCAAACAACTACTAACCTGAAGTCGGGTGTGAAGTAGATGAAAGGAAAGACTTTGGCTTGCCTCCAGCTACGTTTTACTTTGAGTAGACCCAATGAGATCAATGGGCCCAAGTGTCTCTTCAGTGGGTCTGCTCTAAATAAAACATAGCTGGCTTTGTGCCAAGTGGTACTGAATGCTTTATGTTCCCTAGGCCTTTCTCATCTCTAATGGAGCTGAAATTATTACTATTATTCATTATTATTACATGGCACTCCCCATTTAATCCTCACAATGCCCCTCCAAGGTTGGCTAGCCTGACCCATTTTCACCCAGTGAGAGTTTCAAGGCTGAGCAGGGATTAGGGACCCAGTTTCCCCCAGGTCCTAGTCCATGACACCATCATTGGCTTCCTCCTTCTTCCAGATCAGGGTATCGTGCAGAGTGGCAGCACTTCGACTCCTCAGCAGATCTGAGCTTTGCTGTTCTTCTGTGTGCCTTTAACTCTTTTTTTCAATTTGCTTTTCCTCTCAGCTTTGGGGATTTATTTCCCTCTCCCTGCGTGTCGAATCATCACTTGGGGTTTTTTTTTGGTGTAGGTCACCGCACAAAAGCAGCTGTTGCAGGAAGAATGCAAACAATGTGGGGAATGAGCTGGAAGCTCTGAAGGCAGCCGGCTTGTGGGGCAAATTCCTGGCAAAGACTTGGCTGGCAACAGCCGGCTGTGAACCCTGCTCCATATTCTTTGGCCAGGGGTGAGGACATTATATTGAAATTTAAAACAGAACCAGAGGACTCATAGAATTGGGGAGCTGGAAGGGACCACAAGGGTCATCTAGTCCAACCCCCTACAATGCAAGAATCTTTTGCCCAACGTGGGGCCCAAACCCTTGAGCCTGAGATTAAGAGAGTCATGGTCTGCTGACTGAGAGAGCTTGATTGCAACAGCTGTGCCTATAATGCACCACAAAAAAAGAAACAATAACTGTTGCTCACCAATTTCAGCACCTCAAAAAAAAATTCCATCTCAGATTTATTTTTTATTCATTCATTCATTCTTAATGCACTGGTATATACCGGATTTCATCACATAACTTACAGCATACTTTTTTAAAAAGCAAGTTCCTAGTCCTTATGAAAGCTTAAGACTTCACTTTTTGCAAAGGTGGTCTGTTTGTCAGTGTAAGCTTCCTGTGGTCCTGTGGCTCACCTGACTCCTTGGCTGGTGAGGTGGGGTGTCAGTCCGTCCTCGAAACCGGCCAACGTGGCAGGGGCTCAGTAAGCAAGGAAGCAGCTCCTGTCCTAGTGAGCTGCCGGTTTGAACCCTGCGGCACCCACTGCTCTCGACTTCTTTCTTCCATCCTTCTGGCTTGGTGCTCATGAATGAATTTCTCCTACCTCACCCCCAAAACAAAAAAACCCAGTTTTATTAACTATCCTACATGAAACCAGTTTCACGCCGCCTACTAGAGAAGGAGGCAGGCTCATCGTTGTTTAGCCACAATTTAGGAAAACCTGATTCCTGGACAGCTGAGTGGCAGGTGGTGGCTGCAGGCGGGACATCGCTTGACACCTGTCAGATTTTTTTTTCCCCCAAGGCAGCAGGGGGATCAGGGCAGCAGGGATCCTGAAGAGAAGCAAAAGCAATCCAGAGATCCAAAGTGACTGGCAAGGAGAGTAGGAAAATGCCCAACTGGCTGAACATTTCAGTATGTGAAAGTTAACATCGGAAGAGTCCAGCTGTGGAATCAGGCCAAAGGCTGGATTTGCCTATGTGATGTCATCACTGAGGGCAAGCGAAGTCAAATGGCGAGTGAGGGCAGCGTAGGAAGAGGCTGGCCACTGGATCATTTACTCTTGTTCTCACGGTGACCAGCCAGAAGCCAGACTGGGCTATATGCTGCCATCACTGAGGGCAAATGCAGTGAGATTGCAGTCTTTATGGTTCTGAGTACAGTGGTGCCTCGCAAGACGAAATTAATTCGTTCCGCGAGTTTTTTCGTCTTGCGATTTTTTCGTCTTGCGAAGCACAGTGTCGGGAAAGTTTTGGAAAAGCTTCAAAAATCACCAAAGTCTTCAAAAACCTCAAAAAAGGCTACCACACCGCGTGCTATGAGTTGCTCCTCGAAGTCAAGTCGCAACTGTATTAACGGTGTTAAGAAAAAGGAAACAAACTTGCAAGACGTTTCCGTCTTGCGAAGCAAGCCCATAGGGAAAATCGTCTTGCGAAGCAGCTCAAAAAACCAAAAACCCTTTTGTCTTGCGAGTTTTCCGTCTTGCGAGGCATTCGTCTTGTGAGGTACCACTGTAAAGAGCTTTGCAACTAAGTTGTGGTTTTCTTCCCCACAGAGCAGAAGAGACTTCCTTATACCAAATCAGACCATTGGTCCGTCTAGCTCAGTGTTACCTGCACTGACTGCCAGTGCCGGGTTTCAGACAGGCGTCCTGCCCAGCCCCTGGGGATTGAAGCTGGGACCATCTGCATGCAAATGCTCTGTTACTGAGGCTCACGTCTCCCTCTTCGTATGCGTCTTGCCCACACAGAGGCTCACCTTGCTGTTTATCTTTGTCCCCATCCCAGGCATCCCGACCCTCATAGTCCTGGACCCCAAGGGGGACGTGATCACGCGACAAGGCCGGGTGGAGGTGCTGAACGACATCGAGTGCCGGGAGTTCCCCTGGCACCCCAAACCCGTCCTGGAGCTGACCGACTCCAACGCCGTCCAGCTGAACGAGGGCCCTTGCCTCGTCCTCTTCGTAGGTAAGGGATTCCCCCAACTGCGGCAGCCCCTTCCTCACCTGCCTCTTCGCCACTCGGAAGGTTGCAGAGATCAGAAACAGCACCTCTCTTCCTGAAAGTTGTATAAGTGGCTTTGGAAATTTTCCAGGCCTCAAGATTGCAACACACACCCTGTTTCTAGCCAGAAGCAACATACCAGGTGGAACCTCAAGCCTGGGGGTCAGGTGTGGCCCTCCATATGCCTCTGTCTGGCCCTTGGGACTCTCTCCAAGCCATGATCCTCATGGGTCAGTTTCAAACCCTCCTTGTTTTTTGTTTTTTAATGGGCCTGGCTAGAAATGTGCCCTTGAACTCTGAGCATGCCTATTGCTTGCTTGGATGGAGAACAGAGGAGGGAGAGAGAGAATGTGAATGTGTTAGAAACTAGAATACCATACAAAGGCAAAATCTGCATTTCTTGCTCTGCCCATTTTCCCCTCTTCCCCTGCCCACTTCTAGTATGTGGCCCTCGGGAGGTTGTCCAGAAGGGAATGCAGCTCTCTGCCTGAAAAGGGTTCCCCATCCCTGGATTAGTGTGCTCCCCAAACCCTAGGGTCGCTGTTAGGCTTTCTCCTCCGTGACCACAACCTGCAGCCATAGGACAAGTCTTGGGTCATGGTTAAGGAGGAGAGACTGTGACTCTGTTCCTGGACTTGAGTGACATGTTAATCCCAGGCATGGGGAAGCAGTGGCTCTTTGGGCATCACTGGGCTATAACTCCCATCATTCCTGGTTGTTAGCCACGCAGGCTGGAGCTGATGGGAGTTGTAGTCCAACATCTGGAGGCCACCCTGCTCTGGTAATCCCGGGAAAGAGCAAAGCAGCTGCGATCTTCTCTTCCCTGGTGTGTTCCCACTAGCAAGACAGCTGTTGTTTCCGGTTCTGAATCTGGGTTAGGCCTTCCAGCCCAGTGGAAATCTCCGTTCAGCATGAGGCTACATCTCCCCCCTGCAAGCAACACCCCACCCACCCACAGTGATGTGGTACCTTAATCGGATGAGCTGTTCCCCTGTTGCAGCCATGCTGTGCCTGATCCGTTCCCTTACAATGGCGGCACTCCAAGCCTCACATTCATCCGTTTCCTGTTTCTGCCCCTGGAGTCTTCTCCCCCTCCACCCAACCGAGGACTCAAGCTGTGTCTGAATGCGGTTGTCTGTAACCCCCCTGGAGTGCGGGGCCAATTGCGCTTCTTTCACGGCACGTACATCTAAGCCCCCCCACCAACCCCAACAGCTCTCGGTTTGTGTCAGCGGCCGTGGGGGGAAACGGGGGCGGTGAGTGTAACACCTCCCCACGTAATTAATTCTTTTGCTTTAGATTTGATCTCACGCTTAACCTTTTGTAAAGCGCTGTTTTGTCTGCAAAGTGCTTGAAAATACACAAACGCTTTTTCACACGAGCGCACACTCGAGACCGTTTAGTGCTTGGAACGGCTCGTCTTTTGCAACGCCGCTTGTGTAAGCTGTACATCTCCTGCCTTTATCGCAATTGTGTCCTTCCCTTGCGAGGTGCTTAGGCACACATACACACACACACACACACACACACACACAGGAAGGCAGACAGACCCACGGACACGTGGATATTCAAACCAGGCTCTCGCCATTTTGTTCCTGTTTTCTGGTTGTAACAGTACCAAATCTGGGTTTAAATGTGCTCAGATTGCACCATTGAGGTTTGTTTCGCTCTGAAATGTCACCTCGCCCCCAGCCCCCCAAAAAGTGTTTTGGGAAATGCAAAAATGGTTTCTCATACAGTGAATTGGATTAGGGAAATAGATAGATAGATAGATAGATAGATGATAGATAGATAGATAGATAGATAGATAGATAGATAGATAATAGATAGATAGATAGATAGATAGATAGATAGATAGATAGATAAATAGATATAATTAAGACTTGCTGCTGCTTAAAATGCTACAACAAAATGAATCATACAATTTTTCACAATGCTGTAGGTGAAATGTATTCTGAATGGGAATGTCTATACATGCTTAAATGCAAAAAATAAAACAAAATGATAACGTCCAACAAAATCAATGTGATGGATTGTGCTTAATGGAGGCTATGTTGCAATCAAACAGTATATTGATTTCATTACAGAAATAAATAGCACTGAGACAGTAAGTTTGTTTTGTTAAAAAAACCCAAAAAACCCCCAAAATGATATATCCAAATAGATGCCTGATCAACAGAATTCATGTCTGTTGATCAGTCATCTCTTCAGGTAGATCATTTTATTTATTACGGCTTTAAGCATGTATAGCAGTTCCCTTCGTTTTAGTGGAATACGTTTTTATCTATGTCCTCATCAGTTCTCGAGGTGTGTTATATGTGAAACAAACACGATAGTCTCTGGTCTTAGACGAAGCTGTCTTTTTTTGTCCTACTGGGATGGGGCAGCTCTGCTCGTCAGCCTAGTTCTCCCCCTCACTGCTGCCTCCTAGTAATTCACCCTCCTCTCCGCTTTCTAGCTCTCTGTTCAAGCTGAGCTCACTGTGACCCTTCTTATTTATTCAGCAAAGCGCTGCTGCGTGAGGGTCCTCCAGCCCACCGGGAGCCCGACTCTTGTAGCCGGGGGTGGGAATAGATTGTTGCGCTCCCTGCGGGTGAGTGGGGAATGATTGATAGGGCGGCCCCGTCTGGCTAATGATGGACCACTCTGGAAGAGAGTTATCCCAGCAGCATAATAACATCCTCCCCCCTTCCATGCTTGCCTGTGGGGCAGAAATTCAGCGGGGGAACAAATAATCCAGGAATCGTTTCCAGGGGTTCGGTTAGAGGGTGGATCGTGCTGTGTCCTTGCGGGGTGAAAATGACCTAGAACTCTATCTGTTGCCATGATGACAAATGTCAAGCCCTCTGCTAATGAGTACCTGTCATTACTCTGCCTAGGGAAAACCTTGTCCTTTTTCTTTTTTTTTGACTGGTTTAGGGCTGTTGTTGTTTCTGTATTTCTTTAAAAAAATAAATTTATATATACATGTATACTGAAAGCTTTAGTGATGCTCCATCCCTGTATATATATAATCACGGCGATCAATAATTCAATTAATCCAGCCATCCCATATCAAAAGGAACCTATGCTAATTGTGCAATTAATTCAGCTGAATATTTGAAAACCTTTCCGTTTACCCAGTTTCATTCCACTTTTTTATATTTTCCTTTTCCCCAGATTGATTCTAGACCAGTGCATATTAAAATGCCAGACAACGGCCCCTTAATACAATAAAAGTGTGCTGAAATGACAATGTAAGCTTAATAAAACTGCAAGACAGTCCAAAATTTTAAATGCAGTCGTTAGCTCCAACAGCACATGGTTCGCAAATGCTGTTTTAAATTAGCCTGAATGAAAGACAGCAGTTAATATTTCATCTGTAGCTCTTCTTCGTAGTTTATACATAACCAGTTATTTAAAAAATCTTAATACAGTATCTTTCTTTTTTATTTCATTACTTGTTATACGTGTAGCAAACAAGACTGACAAAGTATTCCAACAATTCAAAGAAAGAAATTGTTTTTCTGTCTTCCTTATATGGTTTATTTTATGCTATTTTTGTTTATAGCCTGCTCTCTGAAAAAAAGAATAAGTAGACGATATGGGAGTTAGCACATAGCTATGGTTGATGAGGCTGTTTCAGCTTCTTTGCCTTAGCCTAGTATACATATTGACTCGGTCTGTGGAACTGGCACCATTACAGGCGCCACATAATACTTGTTCCACCTTCTAAGAAATCCACTATTTAATGTGGCAAAACTCACCCTTTGGAACTCCCTGCGACTTGACATCAGGCAAGCATCTTCATTGTACACTTTTCGGCACCCGCTAAAAACCTTTTCATTTAGGCCATGGGTTGGGTCTAAGGCCCGGGGGCCGGATCTGACCCAATCGCCTTTTGAATCTGGCCTGCGGATGGTCAGCGTGTTTTTACATGAGTGGAATGTGTCCTTTTATTTAAAATGCATCTCTGGGTTATTTGTGGGGCATAGGAATTCGTTCATATATATTTTTTCAAAATATAGTCCGGTCCCCCACAAGGTCTGAGGGACAGTGGACCGGCCTCCTGCTGAAAAAGTTTGCTAACCCCTGGTTTAGGCAAAACCAGACATGACATGTAGAATGCTGGCATGTGTTTTAATCTGTTTTTAGCTTATTGTTGATTTTAGTTCTTTTTTGAATGCTTTTCAGAGAACGGTTTTTACTGATAATTTTATTGGTTATGTGTTTGTTTATTTACCCACCCTTCACCCTAAGGTCTCAAGGTGGATTATAGCAGTATTGTATTATTATTTTCGTAAACTATTTTGAGGTTTGTGCTTAAAAAACACCACATTAAGTAAAGTAGTATATAATTTTTTTACAAAGTAAATAAATAAAGTTAGATTGGGGTAGCCACTGTGGCTCCCTCCAGATTTTGTCGGCTGCAAACCCCTTCATCCCCTGACCATTGGCTATTCTGGCGGGTGCTGATGGGATTTGTCACCCGACAGCATCTATACCTCTATAGAGATCTTGCTGTTCTACAGCTCCCCCCCCCTCACCTCTGCACCACTCTGGCTCCTGAAATTCCTCTTCAGGTGCTGCTGCTGCTGCTATTATTATTATGATGATCATTATGATAATGATCATTATTATTTTCATTTCTATGCCGGTTTCTATTTTTAAGGGTGGGAAATCTCAAAGCTGTTTACAACACATTTAAACACCAAATAAAACAATCCAGAATGAAACATGATTGAAGAAAGTCAAATATGAAGTATACATTCAAAGCAACATAATTAAATCGAAATTAAACATTGCAAGGGAGGTCAGCTGCAGAATGCACATTTAATGCCGCAAAGTCAACAACAAGAACAACAAAAAGGAATAGGACAACAACAAAAAGGGATAGGGACAAGGGACTTTTGAAATAGTCGCCGTGAAAATCAACGGGCAAGTTACAGGTGCCTTCTGACACTTGAATTGCTGCTGCATTAAGTTAGATACCAAAAACGACACCCTCGCTCCCTCCCTGTGGCTTTCCAGCAGGCATGTTTTCCGAACATCTTTGCACCCAAATGGACTAGAAAGTTGATTTTTTAAAAAAGAAGCTTTTTATTCTCTGGAATCTAAGTTTTGGAGCCAGGACCACATCATGCATTCTTAATAATAATAATAATAATAATAATAATAATATCTTTATTGTCATTGCCCCCTCTCGGGGACAACGAAATTCTTGCCAGTATTTTCATGGGGTTGTGATGAGACGCAGGACTTGGCTTCCTGTGACACGCACACACACACACACACCCAACACACACACAAACATTTAAAATTGCTCTAAAAGTTCCCCAGATAATTCAGCTGTCCTTTCAGCTGCGGGACACCCTCCCCTATCGATCCAGCCCGACAGCAAAGCCCCGTTTTCCAGTCCCCCGTCTCTCCATCTCTCTCTCCTCATGACCCCCCCTCCTTTAAATTAAACACCAGGAGCCTCAGCGCAGCTTGGAGGGGGGGGTGTATGTGTCTTTACACAGAGCTGCATCTGTGACTATTATTAATCAGCTTTGTGCCGTATATATTTGCCACCTACTTGGGAGGTCAGCCTGGAGGCACAGGAGCTGGAGCGCAGCCAATTAGCTTTGTTGGTGGGGGGAGAAGGGGAGAGAAAAAAATTAATCCCATTATTAATCTTTCTCCCCGAATGCAAACATGGAGGGTGGGTGGGATTGTCTGTGTCTCCAGCCTCTCTTGTTCTCTGTTTAAATTTTTAAAAAGCGAAAGGAACAGGGAGCTCATCTCACGGATCTTTGCAAGCTGACATCCCATGGTTGAAATTACACAGCCAATCCAGACACAAGCACCGCAACATTCAAAACGTTCCTAATCGAGTCAGCAGTGTGGCTTTGGCCTTCGGGGTTCTTGCGGGTGAGGCCTGCGCATTCCAGCTGGCTTTAGACAAAGAGACTGTCAAAGCCCCAAACCGCTGCCCTTAACTCGGAGCAGGTCGGAACAGGGGACTGTTTGTGGAAACCCCCAAAGCAGTGATCTATCGTACAACTTTTAGGAACATGGGAAGCGATAACTTTATATCAGACCCTGTAATACAGATTGCCCTGTTAGGTATTCATTTATATTTTAAAAAGGACCTGGAATTGGCTAGTTTTGTTTTTAGAGATTGCTTTAAATTCAGTGCCCTTCAGTGCAAGAGGCAGTAGGCTTGTGAATCACCAGGAGGAGGGGATCACGAGTGGGGGGGGCTGTCACCATTGCACCCCGCTTCCCATGTGGGCTTCCCTGGCCCCTGTGAGAACAGGATGTCAGGCTGCATGGCCACGGGCTTTATCAAGCAGGGCTCTTTTGTTCATGTACTTGATTTCGCTTGCCGTCAGTGATGGCAGCATGGAGCCAAATCTGCCATCTGGTTGGCCACTGTGAGAACAGGATGCTGGATTAAGATGGGCCTCTGGTCTGACCCAGCTCTTCTTATAATGTTCTAAGCTGATTGAAGAAGTGTGTGGGTGTGTATTCGACGCTTTTCAGTAACAAATGCATGCCACAATTTCACATAAGTATAGAAAGCACCCGGGGTGTGTGTATGTGTGTGTGTGTGTGTGTGTGTGTGTGTTGTCTTTGCTGTACCATTCAGCTTCCATGTAGCTGAAACTGCACCATACACAAAGCCCTCCCAGGATACACAGACAGGAGTTGCTTTAAAAAAAGTGAGGACTGGAACCTTGAAGCTGAGGCGGATCATTTTTCCTCCACATCTCTTGCCCTGCAGATTCTGACGACGACGGGGAGTCCGAGGCCGCCAAGCAGCTGATCCAGCCCATTGCCGAGAAAATAATTGCCAAATACAAAGCCAAAGACGAAGAGGCTCCTCTGCTGTTTTTCGTTGCCGGAGAGGTACGGCCAGGGAAGGGGGAGCCGCGGCAGCGGGGGAAAGGGGTGGGTCTTGCATGGGCACGCGACACAGTTCACTGCTAATGTTTGTGGGCTGCTGATTCCTCTTAGGGAGGGCATCTGTGTTAAAAGCTGAAAGCTGCAACACTAGGCCATCTGCCCCTTTCCCCAGTGCACCCTGGGAAAGGGGCAAGGGTTCTTGAACAGAACTCAGCATCCTCACCAGCCTACAAGACCCAGAATTCCTCAGGGGAGAAGCGAGGGAAGTGTCATCAGCCAAGGGCCACATTCTCTTGTCAGTGATCTTCTAAGGGCCACAGGCTTGGGCTTGGGGCGAGGCCAGTATGAGCGGAGCAAAGGATGCAGCATAAATTTGTAGAGGAAGTTACTTTCCAGCTGCACCAAAGTCAGAGGTGTCTCACTATCTGCAAACTCACAGAGGGGAGGGGATGTCCTAGGGAGAGGACCGAGGGCCAGATAGGGAAGCCCTGAGGGCCGATCTGAGTTTCCCCACCCCTGCTGCTTAAGGCAAAGCTGTGATTGCTGTCCCAGGGTCAAAGAATGCAAGCTGTAAAGCTGCTGGTTCAAATCTCAGGCCAGCCGTGAACTTTCTAGGTGGGCTTACAACTTTCTTGCAAGGTAGGAAAGCACTACTATCCTCATTTTACAGATGCGCTTCCTTGCCCTCCCTCCTGCAATACTTAAAGATAATAGCTTGACTAAGGCCGATTATCATGCCAACAGCAAGTAACCAAATAGAAGTCCTCCGTAGAATATACCATCGCAGATTACAGTTCATGGTTGTGGCTTTAATACAGTTCAATATTTTCTCAATGAATAAACGGAAACCTTGCCTATCAGGTGAGAAGCTTAGGCTAGACCACTTTTCACGGACACGGTAGCTTTCTATGTGGAACAAATTTAGTCTGGAGGAGCATTTGACCATGTGATCCCTTCCCTTCTCGTATCCAGTCTGATGTGGTTCAGTCCAGAAACGGGAACTTTAGCATTTTTCCTGCTGTCGGTGAGCGAGCGAGGCTTTACAAACTGTTAACTTAGGCCTCCACCTGCCTCCCCAATCTGCAAAAAATAATACTGGCCCTCCTTGCAGGTTGGTTTGTAAGGATTGAGAAAGCCAATGTCCGCAAAGCACTGCACCCATTTTAAAAACATGCTTTTTAAATCATGGAATCATAGCGGGGAGGTGTCACGAGGGTCATCTAGTCCAACCCCCTGCAAGGCAGGAATCTTTTGAAGAGTCTCATGCTCTCCTGACTGAGCTATGCGTCTTTAATTCTTTGAGAAGCACACAGTCCAAACACTGTCCCAGGCGCATGGTTAGGGTGAAGGCTTTTGGGAACAAGATGAGGTCATGTCCGTTAAGATTTAACTTGGAAACCTGACCCAGTTGCTCAGAGCTTTACTTATCTTCAGAAGTGGCAAGCCTGTGTGTGTGTGTGTGTGTGTGTGTGTGTGTGAGACGTGAGAGAGAGAGAGAGAGAGAGAGAGAGAGAGAGAGAGAGAGCAATTTTGTTTGCCAAAGAGTTGCAAGGGATCACTAAGAGAATTTTCAGCACCCTGGACCAAACTCAAATCTGGTTCTTTGCACATTCTCAGGTGTCCTGTTGTCTCCTTATGTGTGGGCTGCTGGCAGTCAAAAGGGGTTTGTGTGTAACCCCCGCGTGCCAGGACATTTCCAGACTGCTGACTGCCATCTCCCTTCCAACCTGGCTCCCCTCCGTAGCTTTTGCTGACCGGCTTCCATTTGGATCGGAGCCGTCAGGTCTTCTCATGTACAGCCATACCTTGGAAGTCAAACGTTCCAAAACGTTCGGAAGCCAAAGTGCAGCTTCTCATTGGCTGCAGGAAGCTCCTGCAGCCAGTCGGAAGCCCCATCGGACATTCGGCTTCCAAAACAACATTCGAAAACCGGAACACTCACTTCCGGTTTTTGATCGTTCGGGAGCCGGAACATTTGACTCCCAAGGCGTTCTGGAGCCGAGGTATGACTGTAACTCATTTACCACAGTTAGTTTGGAACAGAGCCTCCCTGTCCACAGAAGGTCTACCTCTGAATATCAGATTCCGGGGACACTGCAATAAATGAGCCTTTGGCCCGATCTAGCAATGTGATTCTTAAGTTCTCTCACCCCACTCCTTTTTTTTAAAGGAGTTTTGGGGGCTGAGTATGTAAATTAGGGGGCCTTGTCCGAGACACGGCTCAGCTTTTCAACTGGGGGGCGGGGCGAACGGGACATGTGGCCATTCCCCTTGTTTCCCGAGCGAGCCAAACGAACGCGGCGTTCCCTTCCTGCCAGAGACCACCCCTCGTTTTCCAGGCCTTTGTTGCTCCTCCGTCCATAGGCTTCCCCCTGCCCCGCGACCCCTAACATGTTTGAAATGCCTGCCTGCCACCCAGCCCCGGGGATTTCTGAATGCGCTCCTTGTTGTAAAAAAAAATGCCTTCTAAAACAAAGGTCTCCAGCACCCTATTCCCTCCCTCCCAGATAGCCCCGGGAAATTCCCTTCTCTCCCCCCCCCCTTCCTCCTGCTTTTCTCCCTCTCGCTCTCCCCCCAAAGCCCCTCCACGGACCAGCCCCACATTGACAAACACAGCCCTTCATTCATTTCCAACACCATCTGCTTGCAGGCTCCCTGACAGCCGCCTGAATGACCCATTCATCACCCACGCCGTAGCTCCTGGATGACGCCCCCCGGCGTTGTTTTGCACTAACCCTGCGAGCGAAAGGGGGCTGCGGTAACGTGCACATGCGCGGGGGAGGGCGGCTCCCACCACGTCCACCGCATTGATTTACGGGCACTGCGCTTTTTTGCGGTGGGCGGAGCTTCCCTGCGCCGTCTCCCCCCGTTAAAAGCAAATAATAAACGGACAAGGGAGGGGTGAAATAAATAGGGGGCAGTGAAAGGGGGGGAGACTCCCTAGTCCCGCACCTGTTGGGCACCGATAATACAGGGTTGGCGGGACCCGCCCCCTCGCCAGCTGGCCTTAGCCCCCGAAGGTGCTGGGAACGCCCTCTTGCCTCTGGGGACCCGACACGGCGACCCTGGGGGGCTTCTTGGGGCACGGAGGGTCCTTTGTGGAAGATGGAACAAATGTCAAGCCTTTTTTTGAGGCCCTCCGGGCTGGTCGGAGAGGGGGAATCGGAGATTTCGGAGAACTCTGATCCCGGCATCTGGCAACAATGCCTCCTCGCCCCCTTCGTCCAGAAAGCCTCTCCAAGATGCGGCTTCCATCCTCTATAATGCGCCCAGGCACCGTTGGGTCGGCCTGAGGAAGATTGGTTGCAGACAATACTAGGGAAGGGGCAGCGTCTCTTAGCACCCCTGGACTTGGTTGACAATTCCTGCGTTTCCCCCATCCCCCCTGTTGCTGCGCCTGCGTGCTCCAGACATTGATGGGATTTGGGGCGTGGAGGGATGGGCGCCCGCCATTTTGTCGAGGCAGAGAGGCAGACCAAGATGGATGGTGGTGGGGGGTGGGGGAGAGCTGCGGTCGAAGAAAAAGGGAGCGCTCAGGGTTGGATAAGAGTGGACGAGTAATAAATAATATTTGCCTATTTAGCAGAGGAGCAGTTTAAGATCCACTGTGTCGCGATGGTTAGCTGATGAACCTGCCAAGGCACGTTGGAATCCAGCTCCCATCAGCCCCAGCAGCTAGCATGTCTGGGATGTTGGAAGTTGGAGCCTGGGGCTCTCTGGAAGGCCCTGGGGTCGCCATCTCTGGGCTCAGAGAGTAGCATCAGAGAGATCCGGCTTCAAATCCCCACTCAGCCATGAAGTTCACACTTTCCCTTGGCCTAGCCCACCTTCCAGGGGTGTCGTGGGGTAAAACGAGGAGCTGTATGCTGCCTTGTACTTGTCGGAAAGGTGGGATATTGATGCAGTTAATACGTAGGAGAGTCTAAGCCCTTCACGTGCCTAGGTTAGCTCTCAACAATCCCAAAGGTAAGCAGTGGCCATGTTGCAGACAGGGCTGGGGGTGAAAAGCAGAGAGAGTTTGTGCTCCTGGCACTGAGGAGGTCCGTTTTGCTTTTCTTTTAATCGTGGCTGTCGCGTCTGCCTGCATCTCCTGCCAGAAAACTAGGGGAAAAGAGGAATAAATCTCACCAGGGCCTTCATGGCTCAGAATCCTTTCTCTCAGCCCACGCTAGCTGCAGTCACTGTGCCAAGACCCAAACAAAGCAAAAACTGCCTTCAGCAACACACAGACGTTACACACAAACAGATCCTTTGCATCCATCTGCTTCTTTATTAAGGTTTTTATTGCCCATTTCTTTGGCACTCCACCTTTATCAGGCAGGGTGGGCTGATCGGCCCGGGATATCGATGTTCAGGCCGCCTGTTCTGTGCGGGTGCCTGGGCACACCTCTTTTGCGCCTGTGGATGCCTTCAGGTATCTCTAACCAAGCCTTATGAGGGAGTTTGGGATGGATTCGCGTTACGGCAAAAGAGATTGTGACTAAAAATTAGGAAGAGCTTTCTGCCATTCGACAGTGAAGCGGATTCGCTTGGAAGGCGGTGGCCTCTCCTTCCTTGGAGGTTTTTAAACAGGTTGGCTGGCCGTCTGTCAGGGATTCTTCAGCTGCGATTCCTGCATTGCAGGGGGTTGCACTGGATTAACCTTTGGGTCCCCTCCTGTGATTCTGTCTCCTGCACCGTTCTAAGCCTGTCCTTTTTTCCTTTTCTAATTCAGCCATGAGGACTAGATCCTTGGCTTGCTTTTTTTAAAAAGAATGCAAGTGGAGCTTCTCAAGATGCTAAAGAGCAACCTGTTGCTCCACTTAACCTAACCACAATTTGCCATGCTCTCTGTTCACAGCCTTTTCCCTGTCTGGGTGATAACAGAGCCAAAATAGATAGGGGAACTCTTGCTGGCTTCAGTCAGCTGTGTGTGTGTGTGTGTGTGTGTGTGTGTGTGTGTGTGTGTGTGAGAGAGAGAGAGAGAGAGAGAGAGAGAGAGAGAGAGAGAGAGAGAGGAGGCCTTAACCTTTGGCCTGGCTTTCACCCTTTATAAGCAGAGAGGGGAGGCGGGGGCACTATGCCGCAGCCCCCCCCCCTTTGTACTGCCCCCCCCCCGGTTTTCATTGTGGCTTGACTGACAGGCAGGGTGAGAGGGTGCTGCAAGTACAGACAAAGGGCAGCTTCTTTTTTCTCCTCCCCCCCCTCTACACCAGGCCGCAATGAACACAAGACCCTCCTGCCTAGTTGATGATCATATTTATTTTACACGGTACTAGCAGTTCCAGAGATGTTTTACACATAAGCAAAAAAATGTGTGGGGTTGTTTTGGGGTATTTTTTAATGTCCTGCACCGAAAAGGGTTTACAATCGGATCAAAGGGCCCTCTAGTCTGGAGCTCCTAGCTGCAACAGCTGTGTTCCCCCTCTGCTTTCAAAGGCACACTGCCCCTGAATAACGGTGGGTTGGGGATCGCAATGAGTCCTGCCTGAAACCGTGCAGAGCTGCTACCAGTCAGTGTAGACAACAGTGAGCTAAATGGACCATTGTTTTCAGTCTGTATAAGGTGGTTTCCCATACTCCTTCCTAAAGCGTCCCTTTGTTCAGAACCACGAGGACTGGAATCTTTTAGGGGGGACACAGGGAGCTGTTGCTACTCCACCTAGCCCAGAATGGTCTTTTCTGACGGGCAGGGGCTCTCCAGGGTTTGGGTCAGGGGGTCTCTCCTAGCCCTGCCTAGAGATCCTATTGGGGATTGAACCTGGGACGTTCTGCATGCAAAGCAGGGGCTGAGCTACAGCCTCTTTGTCCCCTTTGCAGACAGAAGGTCCCAGACTCACTCCCCAAAGGGCATCTCCAGCTAGGGCTGGAAATATCCCCTGTCTAGAGAGCTGGTGCCAGTCAGCGCAAGCAATACTGAACTTAGAGGGAACAAGGGGATAAGGTAACTTCTGGTGTTCCTGCCTCTTAGATTTTGGGATAACGGATCTCTCTCGGCCATCTTTTTCAGGATGACATGACCGACTCCCTTCGGGACTTCACCAACCTCCCAGAGGCTGCTCCTCTTCTCACCATCCTGGACATGTCTGCCCGTGCCAAGTACGTCAAGGACGTCGAGGAGATCACACCCGACATCGTGGAAGCTTTTGTGAATGACTTTCTAATGGACAAGCTTAAACCGGAGCCCATCTGAAGAGAAGCAGAGGCAGGGTTGAAAAGGGGAGGGGGCTTCTTTTTTCCTGCCCCCACTCCCAGCTTGGACCTTATTTAAAAAATTGCAGGATTTTTTCCCTCTCTCCAGCTCTGTGCACAACGTTAACTCTTGACGTTCTAGTGGTGCCTTGTTTTTTCCAAACACAGCAAGTTTCTCTCTTCTTGATTTCCCCTCCTTAACCAAACTCTTTTTAAAAGGTGCTGCATTTCAGCTGGGAGGTGCTGGTCAGAGGAGGCTTGGCTTATAGTTTTCTGGGTTGTGAGGGGAGGTGGGAAGTGGGAGGTTTCCCAAGAGCCCAGGTGAAGGGGAAGTGATGGATTTCCCACGGTCCCAGCCAGAGCTGTGGCTGCATTCTGTTTTTTTATTTTTTTAAAAAAAAATCTCTACTGGTCACTCATGTAACCTGTCCAAACACAGATCCTTTATCAAAGCCCAGTTTTTCCATCTTTCCAAGATGACAAGTGACATACAAGCACCCACACCTAAATCCGCCATATGTAATATTTTGGGGGAAGGGTAGGGTAGTTAACCCATCAAAACTGTTTGCCTTTCGAGGCTGAAGAAAAATAAAAGCTTGCAGAGCAGGCCACTGCCCTCCTGGCTATGTTCTTTTGAGGGGTAGGGGAGTGAAGCTAGGATCCTCTAACAAATACTCTGTATCTTCTTCCAGCTGAACTCCCTTAGGGTGTCTTTCAGCAGGGAAACAGCATCAGGTTTCCTAGGTGAGGGTCACCTCTCCAGCTTTGCTGGAATGCTCCAGGTTCAAAATGCAAAAGCATTTAATGCTCACCTGTATTGCGAATCGAATTGAATTTTCTCTCTCTTCCCCTTGAATCTTCCTACAACTTGGATCGTAATCCAGTTGTCCATGCCTTTCTCTCTTTGGCAATTTGTACACAACAGTTGCATCTTGGGAGCCTGTAGTTGCCAAGCCACCTGAAAGGTCAATATTAAAGACTCGGGAGCCCTGGGATAATGAGATTTCCTCGAGCCCCATATCTGCCATGCAGGGCACATGGGGAGTCATGGGATGTGCCCGTGGGGTCTCTGTGTGAGATCTTGCTGGTGCTGCCACTGGACCGTATAAATTGAGATGGGCGGTGTAGGACGACAAATTAGAGGCCTTGGGAAATGTTTGCATCCTCTTGCGCTAGCTTTTGCCCCGGGGAGGAGGAGGTATTCTTGCATTTTTTAGCCTAGCTTTGGAAATCAGCAATTTGACTTCTTTTAGGAATGACCAGGCGCAATTCTAAATCGAGTGGAAGGTTGTTCACCCACTGTTTAAAACTTTCAACCGTGGGTTGGTGGGGTGTTTTGGTAGTGGCCTGTTTTTGCTAAAATTAGCACCATTTTGCTGCCCCTCAGAAATTCAAACAAGTCAAGACTGGCTCAGTTAAGTGGGGTGTCGCCTGAGGTGTAGTCCGCCATTTGCCCAAACGTTCAAGGGCTCAGAGTAAGGAGAGGAGGGATACACATGACTTCCCCACCCTACTGCGTTGTGTGGCTTAAAGATATGCAAAACTTTTCTAAGTCACATTTGCTCGAGTGTAAGCAGAAGCTTTTGCCTGGTCAGGGACCCCAGTAAAACGAGCTGCCTGGTTGTGAGAGGCGTCTGTAGCTGCCATCCTAACATTCAGGCCACTAGCAAGTAGAGAACTTTCCAGTCGCTCTGAATTGTTGAATTCCACCTTCTGCTTTGCAATCAACTTTCTGCAGAGTGCTTTCTTCCACTGACTTTGAAATAAAACCCAGGACTCTCTTAGGTATTTTTCTCCTCCCTCGCCTTTTTTTCTTCCTTAATCCCATGTTAAATACATCCCCCCTAAACATGCAGCTGATAAAAGCTTGAGCAATTCTCGGTAGAGGTGACTGTGATGTTTTTAGCCGTTTTGGCAAGCAAGGTGGGTTGGGTTGGGATTACGCTGGGATAGCACAGCCAGATCCTCTCTCCCCAACCCCATCGTCTCTCCCTCTTTCTCTCTCCCTGGCAAAGTTGGACGTTGTAAAAAACAAACAAACTTGTACATGGTGACTGGAACTTTGTAATAAAACCCGTTCTAGTAACGTCAGCTCGCCCAGAGTGTGGTTTTGCTGTCAAGGCTGCAGAGGCAGGTTGCTAGAATGTGGGGACGTGTTTGGGCAGGATAGCGTGGGAGAAGACTCTTGAGAGAAACTCATGGCAAGGGGCCTCAGGGCAGATCCGCCCCCCCCCCCCGTTTTCTTGCAACATGGAGGTGATTTGTTGTGTTACTCCAGATGTTGCTGGACTACAAGTCCCATGATCCTTGGCTGGGGCTGCTGGGAGTTGAGTTCCACAGCCATTCGCAGGGGCTTCTCATTTGCTCACCCCGTTAAATTATCATATGCAAGAGACCTTGTTTCCAGGACCTCTGCTTATAGATAATACCCAGGAGCCTGGAGTTTATAAAAAGGCCTTGAACAAGTAGAGTGATGCTTTAGGCCACAGGTCCAATAGCTAGAAAGTCCTGCCTCCTCCAGGCGTCCCTCTTTCTGCAGGATGCAAACCAGGATGGGGTGGCGAAGCTGAATTCGCCACTGCCTAGAGCAAGGGTGGGGGAAGGGACTCTGTGGCCCTCTAGCTGGAACCCCAACTCTATGATCCTTAGCCACCCCTGTGGCTGATGGGAATTGAAGTCCAACAACATCCAGAGCAGGGGGCGATGGCAGCTCTGGCCTTCCGGATCTTGGAGGAGTGCTGCTCTCATCCTTGACCATTTACCAAACTGCCCAGAGCTGATAGGAGACTAGCCTTGGACCAGGGGCATCGCAGGTGCACCGATCCTGTCCAGGAGTAAAGGAGGGTAAAGAAATCTGGCAGTGCTAACTACTCCATGTAGAGTCCCCACCCTTTTGCCATCAAGTGCTTCTGCGAGTGTTCTGCCACCTTCTGGTGAAAAAGAATCTTAGCAGTTTGAGAGAAACACGTATATGGTACTAATAATTTTCCAAAAGCTCCTTTTGGAGGAGCCAGAGTGGCAAGGGTCAGAGCTGGAGGTTCAAAAAGAGAGGAAACATTTAAAAGACATTTCTGGCAGATGGCAGCATTCAGGCTTCCATTAAGGGTGGGCAGAGCAGAGCAGACACCTGTCAGTCCAAACTGGCTTTTACAGAACGTTTAAACCTTGCTGGCAATCTGGAATGAGGAGAAGCCTCTGTGGCTTATTAGAAATACACTCAACAAAGAGAGAGGGGAGCAAATCCAGAATTTATTCTGTACAACTCCACATAAACAATGGGAAGATCTCTTTTCCCAGCAGAAAGAGATTTAAAAGCTTGATCTTTAACCAGGATGACCGTTTGGCAGGTTTGTCTTTTAACTTATTGGCTTAATGCACTAAAACGTTATCTGGGTAAGAAACCTGTGCATCTGATTTGGACAAAAGAAGAGATTGGGAGGGCTAGGAAGGAAATAGATGGAGATTCTCCCCCCCCCCCAAATCAGGAGTTTATAGGCTCAGCCAGGAAGGGTCATTCAGCAGGAGAGAGAGACGCCAACCGGAAAAAGGCCTGAACAAACACATTGCATTGTGAGGAGGGACTACGGCAAGGGAGCCTGTGGCAGCTTGAGGTCACCCGCCACAGGCGACAAGCTGCGCCGTGCCCTTGGCAAGGGATCAGAGAGGACCTGGTGAGGTCACCCTAGAAGCTGTGCCAGAGGCTGAGTCACAGACCCAGCAATTCACCTTTGCTGCCAGAAAAGGGAGGAGGGGGAAAAAGATGGGGTGGGGATGAAGCTTTTAAAAAAGTACACGCTGGCAGATGCCACAGCCCTGGGGCGCTTGGCTACATTGATTTTGTGCCAGCTTCACAGGGTGAGGGCCTCCGGGCCCAAGGCAAAAGCTTTCTTTGTTATCTCTGAGTTTCAGAATTCAAAACGCATGCAAGATCTGAGAGTCTGGATTGTACCCCTTTAGCCAGCCAGGTATGTGCGCTTGGGGCAGGGTCCTATTCTGGAATGTCCCTCGATAGTTGTTGTTTTTCCTATCAAAGTATCCCTGCATGGAGTTAGCTAGAACCTCAAGGAAAGATCCAAACATTTCCCCCTGAAGTGCTGGTTTTCTAGATGCAGGGACCTGTGGTTTTTGTGTTTTCCCACCAGGGGTGGAAGGAATTCAAATGCACAGGCACTCCACGTACATATGCCCCCATAAGCCCCAGTGACGCAATGTGGGGAAACAACCGAATGAAGCAGAAAAAGTGTAAAAATGGGGTTGAATGTTTCTGCTGGGCTTTCTTGCAATCACACTTACCTCTCCCAGAGAGCCCTTCCTGGCAAACAGCCTTTTGCAAACTACAGTCTCTTAAAAGACACTTGCCCCCTCCCTTCCTGTTCACTTTGGTTCTCTTCGGCAACGAAGTCAGAGAGAATTGGCTCTCCAAGATGGAGGGGCCAAAACCAAAGGGCAATGTTTGTTTCTCTGAACACCCCCACAGGAAAGACTCCGGCATCTATTCCTCAACAGTTCTGCCAGATCCCGGAAACGGGGTTTCTCCCCGCCTCTGACAGCTTCACCTGCCGCTTTCCTTCGAAGAGGAGGATGCTGGCAGCCATGGCACAGTTCAAGCTGTCCACACCAGGGACCACGGGGATGACCAGCCGCTTCCCCCCAGTGCTCTGGGCCAGCTGCCTGGCTTCCGTGCTCACGCCGTGGGTCTCCCCACCGATCACCACCGCCGTCGCGGGACCCTCCATCCAGGGCTCAGAGTAAGGCTGGACTTCCAGCCGGCCCGATTCTTGCCTCTCGTCTTCGCTGCCATCCAAATCACGGTCCCAATCCTGCAGAGCCGGCTTCGCCTTCAGGTTGTAGGGCCGCGAGACCCAGCCATGGCTGGCGGCGTTCTGTGCCACTGCCGGTGTGGCCTGTGCCTGGGAGCAGTCGGCCACATGCACACAGCTGTCGGGGAGGAGGTAGCTTGGCAGGACCCCCCAGTCTAGGTTGGAAAGGATGGAGAGGCGGAAGTGAGCTCCCATCCCTGCCCGGAGGACTTTGGGCTCCCAGGCGTCGACGCAGCCTGGAGTACGGGGAGAGGGAGAAGGAGAAATGTTAGAAGAGTCTGGAGCAGTCTTGTGGAGAATGACACACTGCTAGGACAATAGGGGTGGGACGCGGGTGGCGCTGTGGGTTAACCACAGAGCCTAGGACTTGCCGATCAGAAGGTCGGCAATTCGAATCCCCGCGGCGGGGTGAGCTCCCGTTGCTCGGTCCCTGCTCCTGCCAACCTAGCAGTTCGAAAGCCCGTCAGAGTGCAAGTAGATAAATAGGTACTACTCCGGTGGGAAGGTAAACGGCATTTCCGTGTGCTGCTCTGGTTCGCCAGAAGCGGCTTAGTCATGCTGGCCACATGACCCGGAAGCTGTACGCCGGCTCCCTCGGCCAATAAAGCGAGATGAGCGCCGCAACCCCAGAGTCGGCCATGACTGGACCTAATGGTCAGGGGTCCCTTTACCTTTAGGACAATAGGGACTTTGAAAAAGAGTGGGAACCTTTTATATTATATTTGCAGAAACAAAGAATTTTGACCTGATGGTAGGATTTAAATAAACATTCACAATTTTATGGATAGTGAATAGATAATGTAATAAAAGGAAAAAAAATGACATTTTTAGAAAATAGCAAAATGAGGTTAGTAAATCAGAAATGGAAGTCGAGGGAAGTCCAAAAGGGGGGAGGGAGAGATGGTTATGTAAGCTGTATGTTATAAGTATATATGTAATGAGAGAAAAGAAAATTAATTTTAAAAAAATTAAAAGAGAGAATGACACACTGCTGACCTAAAAATATTTTAAGCAACCAGCTAATGACAGGTCTGTGTTAGCATTTCATTTTGCTTTTAATTTTTATTTGTATACCTCCTTTCTATATTACTATACGCAAGGTGATTTACAAGCTGAAGAAACAGCAAAGATCGCACACCTTATAACAATGTGATCCAATAAACAAAAAAAGGGACTCGGGATTCAAGCACCAATGCATTCTCCCTGTGAGCCTTCAGGAATGCCTGACTGCCTTTAACAGTGGAGCCAAGCATTGCTAGCATGAGCAGCAGCCATGGATAGCTAGCAGCGCTGCTGGTAGATGAAAAAGGCACAGCCCACTTAAGCACTCCTCATTCAAGGAGCCTCTTCGGATGTCACTCAGCAGCTGCCACCGAGAAACTGGACCACTAGGGTTTGCTAAGAGACAGACTCAGGTTCAGTTGGCCCTAAAAGAACTCTGAAATTTCCCCCTCTACCCTCTCCATCCCTTTTTCCTTATATGGTGTGACTTTGAGATTGCGAAGCCCAAAGGCATGTGTTGTTTTTTAATTGTAACAAATGCTTCAAAAAATATGAATAGAAAAGTAAACTTCCTTTGGGGAGGCGGGGGGGGGGAGGATTCTCATTTGATGAAAGCGGTCGCAATCCCAATTCCACAGATCTTTTTAAAAGATTAAAGGAGGAAGCTTTCCAGAAGCAAAGCCTGCCCCTTTTGCATATCTGAAGCCCTATCAAGTCCTTGAGTCAGGTCAGCTTTGGAGAGGGGCCCTGCATATCGTACAGCCATAGGTTTGGAAATGTGTCATAACAAAAGCTGCTTTGTTAAAGGGTTAATGGAAACAGGCATGTTGATGAAGAAAACTCAGTTACCCATCAGTCTTATCTCCTTGGAGCCAAACCGCCCCAAACCCATCAGGTTCTAGTCTATATAAACCTTTCTCAGCCTGGTGCCTTCAAGTTTGGGACAATTAATTCCCATCAGGCCACAGAATGCAGAGAAAGAGAAAGAAGCCTGAGAGCAGGGACAGGTAATATTTCTGAGCCCTCTCCCCATCTGCAATTTCCAGCAACTGTTATTCAAAGGCATGTTGCAGTTTCTGATTCACTCTCTCTTAAACCTGTCCAGGTTGGTGGCAGTCACTGCCTCTTGTGGGACCAACCAGCTGGCCTCTGGGAAGACCCCAAACAGGTCCTGCCCCCAGGAGCAGAAGCGGAATTGGAACCCAGCTCTGATCTATCCATAGAGTGACGCTCCCCACCTTTTAGAAGCAGCACCCTGCTGCAGCCTGCTCCAGCTGCTGATCTCAGGAGGGTGCCCATGTTCCCTGGGTCGCGGATGTTGTCGCAGATCAGAGAGAGGGGCAGCGCATGTTCTCGCTGGACTTCTGGGTACGCCATTTTGGCGTGGTCTGGTCTGGAGAAGATTCCTGGAGGAAATGCAGTCAGGGAAGATTCCTTTAGTACAAGGGTGGAGGCTCAGACCCGCAGCCTCAAATGGGCCCCTCGAGACCCTCCCAAAGCCTCTCCCCAGGCCACACCCCCTACTGGCCCTGCTTCACACACCCCTGGAGTGCCTGAAATTCTGGAGTGCCACTTCCAGTCAGTGTAGACACTGCTGAGCTAGATGGGTCAATACGGTCTGACTCAGTATAAGGCAGCTTCCCATGTTCCTCTTTAAACCAGCCCCTCATAAGGACTAGAATCTTGTTTTAATTTCAGGAAAAGAGCTGTGACTCCGAGACAAAGTACAGTGGTACCTCTGGTTATGTATTTAATTCGTTCCGGAGGTCCGTTCTTAACCTGAAACTATTCTTAACCTGAAGCACCACTTCAGCTAATGGGGCCTCCCACTGCTGCTGCGCCGCTGGAGCATGATTTCTGTTCTCATCCTGAAGCAAAGTTCTTAACCCAAGGTACTATTTCTGGGTTAGCAGAGTCTGTAACCTGAAGCGTATGTAACCCGAGGTACCACTGTATCAGCCTCTCCCTGGTTTAATTTCCAGCACTTCCAGCTTGGGCTGGGAATATCCTCTTGTCTGAGACCCTGCAGAGCTGCTGCCAGCCAGTGTGAATGTTACTGAGCTCAGAGGGACCAATGGCCTGCCTCCCTACGTTCCTGATGAACTTACCAATCACACCCTGAGATGTGATGACATCAGACCAGGTCTTGAGGTCTTCAAACTTCACCTTAACAAGGCTGACGCCTTTCAGCTTGTCCAATGGCAGCTCCTTCAAATGCTCTATGGCGCTGAAGAAGAGTGTCTGGGGAATGGCGCCAGCTGCCAGTGCGTCGGCGATGAGTCGCCTGCCCTCCAGCAGGATCTTCCCGTGTCTCTCGCGAAACGACCTGGACTTGGCAAGTGTCACCACTTTGCTGCAGAGAAACAGATCCGTCAAGCCCACAAACTTTTCTTCCCCAGGCTGGTTGACAAATGTTATCTGTAGCCCAAAAAAATGACAACCACCAAAAGCGATAGAGCACATCAGCCTGCTCAACCAGAGGTGGTTCTTCCAAGAGAAACAAATCCAAAATGTGCACAACTGTTTCCATTTACAACAAGCCCCCCAATACCAGGAGAATGGTTGTAGCTCCACGGTACAGCCTCAATGTTTCATTCACAAGGCTCCAGGTTCAATCCCTGGCGTCTCCTGGGAATGTTGCCTTCCTGAAATCATGGAAAGTCACTGCTGGGCAGTGCAGACAATTCTGAGCTAAATGGACGGGTTGCTCTGACTTGCTATAAGGCAGCTTTCTGTATCAACCCATCCAATCTCCATCACATCCTTCTGCAGCCTTTTTCTGCCAAAAAAAAACCTAGAGAGGATGTGTATCTATGGTGAGGGAGGGAAGGAAAACTTACCCTGCTTCCAGAGCCACATGGAAGACTGACTAAATGAAAGCCACGTGGACTTAGGGACATTGGGAAGTTGCACTGCCTTGCTTGCCAGAGAGTATCATTGCAAGGGGGAAAATAACCCAGCTCGTTTGCTTTCCTCTACCTTTCCCTTCTCCTACAGCACCATAATTCAAAAGCGTCAATTCTTCGGTGATCAGCCTTCCTTATGGTCCAGCTCTCACTTCCATACATCCCAGTAGTGATGCATGGAAGTGAGAGCTGGACCATAAAGAAGGCTGAACGCCGAAGAATGGATGCTTTTGAATTATGGTGCTGGAGGAGACTCTTGAGAGTCTCATGGACTGCAAGAAGATCAAACCTCTCCATTCTGAAGGAAATCAGCCCTGAGTGCTCACTGGAAGGACGGATCCTGAAGCTGAGGCTCCAAGACTTTGGCCACCTCATGAGAAGAGAAGACTCCCTGGAAAAGACCCTGATGTTGGGAAGATGGAGGGCACAAGGAGAAGGGGACAACAGAGGACGAGATGGTTGGACAGTGTTCTCGAAGCTACCAGCATGAGTCTGACCAAACTGCGGGAGGCGGTGGAAGACAGGAGGGCCTGGCGTGCTCTGGTCCAGGGGGTCATGAAGAGTCGGACACGACTAAACAACTAAATGACAACAACAACACCCTTCCCTTCTGTTTTTCCTTTCACACTGCAAATACTAAAGACTGTGAATCAGCAGACAGAGAAGACTGCCTTATGTTTTAATATACAGTTGTCACTTTTTTCAAGGTAGTTTAAAATAGCTTCTTATTCATTTATTATTATTATTATTATTATTATTATTATTATTATTATTATTATTATTATTATTATTATTGTTGTAAACCAGTGTGCTGCAGCGGCTGGAATGTTGGGTTAGGCACTGGCAGACCAGAGTTCAACTCCTCTCAGCCGTGAAGCAGTCATGCTCTCCCAGCCTAATCAACCTCACAGGGTTCGTGTGGGAATAAAATGGGGAAAGAACCCTGCTCCTTGGAGGAAGGGTGGGGCTAAATACAACAAACAAGCATTTCCATCCTTCTGGCTCCCATCCACCCAGAACTGCAACTCCCAGAGGCCCTTGCGCGCAGCCTTTCTCGCCTGCCCTGGTGGCTCTTGGGAGTTGTAGTCCCTTTCCCATTCGTCGCTTCCCGGCCTCCGCCCGTGCCCAACAACAACCCCCAGAATGCCTTGCGCGCACGCGTGGACTTGCCTAAGCCTCTTGTCTCCGGATTGCGCCTTCTGGAAGCAAAGTTCCGCTTCTTTGCGTTCCGGCCCCTTCTTCTCTTCCTTCGCGGCCGCTGCCTTTGGGGCCTTGCTCTCCCAGCCGGCCTGGTCCCGAGGCTTCTTCGAAGGGCCGGCCTTGGGCTGAGGGGGGCCGGGGACGACCCGTCGCTGCTCCTCCCGCGTCTCCGCGACGGAGGGCAGCACGCGGACGGGGCTCCTCTTCAGCGCGCGGACCCCTCGCCGCCCGGCCGCGCTGCCCAAGGCCGGCCCGAGCAGCAAGAAGGGGGCTCGCGCTCCCCTCATGAAGGCCGCCATATTGGTTACTGGCGCGGGCGTCGAGCGGGATTTCCCCTTCTCAGACTATCGCGAGATCTCCGTCACTAATGGCAACAGCGTCCTTTTTATATATCTACCGGCCCTAAAAAGCCATAGAGATGGAAGAGGGGCGTAAAAACGTTTGTGCGCAACTTCCGGGGGACATTCGGAAGCGGCCATTGGCTGAGAGTCCCTGGTAGAGATATGGCATAATAGAGCCATTGTTGCGATTTCCGGGCTCACACTTTTAAGACGCACCCGACATGTGTTCACCATAGATGTATAAAGTGATAGAGACGCCACTCATCGTTCGTGGAAAATCATGAATTATAGAAGCCGTCAAAAATAAGTTTTATCTTTTTCAAGAGCGCTGTCTGATTTGAGGCGACAGCGCTCTTGAAAAAGTTAAAACTTATTTTTGAAGGCTTCTAAAATTCATTTTAAAAGTTGCCTCAGGTTTAGACGGCGTGTCGTGACGTCATTCCCACGCGCCAGAAAGGGGAGAGGGTAAATACAAAAGCAACCCCACCCCCTGAATCAGGCGACCGCGCTTGCTCGCGAATCACTTCTGTGTGGGCGGCTTTGCGCGTGAGGTGGAGCTTGGGACGAAAGACAAGGCCCCTGAATATGAAGGCTCGGCGGGCGCTGCATTTCGTGTTCAAAGTGGGCGACCGAGCCGAGACCGCGCGCTTCTACCGGGATGTACTGGGCATGCGCGTAAGTGGGGGCGCGAGACGGTGGGCGGTTAGGAAGCGGCCTTGGCAGTTTGGGGGGAGGGCTTTTCGAGGCAGGGGTGACGTCACGGCTACGGGTGCCCCCAGGGTCCCAAGCCACGCGGGAACGAGTTGGTTTGGTTTTTGAGCGTCTTCCCCTAGAGCGGCTAGTTAATTACGGCGGCCTCTTTGGCCCAATCTTTCCTACAGAGGCGGCGTTTGCTTTCGTGAACGTTTGTCGCTCCTGATTACGCCGCAGAGCGGCGCACTTAGTTTTTCAGGAATGCATTGGTTTTTTATAAGTAACAAATTTTAGGAAAAAATCTGTGTGTGTCTCTGTATATCTATATAGATATAGTCACATGTTGCATTTAAGATCACGTTAGAATAATAATAGTAATAATAATAATAAATTTATTATTTTATACCCCGCCCATCTGGCTGAGTTTCCCCAGCCACTCAGGGTGGCTCTCAACTGAGTGTTAAAAACAATACAGCATTAAATATTAAAAACTTCCCTGAACAGGGCTGCCTTCAGATGTCTTTTAAAAGATAAGATAGCTGCTTATTTCCTTGACATCTGAAGGGAGGGCGTTCCACAGGGCGGGCGCCTTGTGTTAAAATGCAATATTAAAAACAATTTTAAAAATAAAGTGTCTCCAAACCATGCACGTCAAAAGTGTCAAAAGCCGCCTTGTTTGTGCCTGAACGTTAACTTATTTTTCTTAAACAAACAGGTTCTAAGGCATGAAGAATTTGAAGAAGGCTGCAAGGCCACTTGTAACGGGTACGCTGTCTTCATTTTGGTGGTTTCTCATCAAAGCGGACGTTTCCCTCGACACTCTTGAGCAGGCCGAGGCAAACTCGGCCTTCCAGATGTTTTGGGACTACAACTCCCATCCTCCCTAGCTAACAGGACCAGTGGTCAGGGGTGATGGGAGTTGTAGTCCCAAAACATCTGGAGGGCTGAGTTTGCCTGTGCCTGCTCTTGAGTGTTTGGAGGCGGTAGCCCCAAAGGGGTGGATTGCTCTGAGGCAGGTGCTGCTGTCTGGCAACACAAGCTGCTTCTGCCAGTAGTGCCTGCAAAATAAATGCTCCCTCACTTCCCATTGGCTGACCTTCTGTGACATCATGGGACGGGCGCAACAATTCTACCTGTGTATAGTGCCAGTGTCTGGGTAGAATGCTGCCCTTCAAATGAGTGCAGCGTTGGGTGGAGAAGAGTTGTGTGCCATTGATGAGAGCAGAAGGCTGGGAAGCTAGAATAGAATAGAAAAAGCTGCCTTAATCTGACCTGGCATGTCTGCCCATCAAGCCCTTTATTACCCTCTCTGACTGGCAGTGGCTTTCCAGAGTTTCAGGCAAGAGTCTCGCTCAGCCCTACCCAGAGGTGCTGGTGGTTGAACCTTTCCATTGGCATCTGAGTGAGCTGAAGAACCCCAGAGGAGAGGGAGATGTAGGCTTTTTTCCTCCTGAGTTATTGCAATACAAATAAAAGGCAGCTGTGTTTCTAGCCCCTATGACGGCAAGTGGAGTAAAACGATGGTGGGCTACGGCCCAGAAGACAACCACTTCGTCGCGGAGCTAACCTACAATTACGGAATCGGAGATTACCGCCTCGGCAACGATTTCCTGGTAGGCACCGTCTCATTCGGTTGATAAGTGAGAAGGTTTGCAAAGTACGTTGGTTCTGGGATCCCTAAGGCTTAGTTTCTGCTCAAAAGAACGGGTGAAATGAACAAAGCACTGAGTAGGCCCTGGGAGTGCGGTGGGCCACATTTCTCATTATAGAAAAGGTAAAAAGCTCTGGGGACTTTGGAGTTTGCATAGCAAAGGGACTAGATAAGTGAGCTTTCGTGGACTGTGTGTTCTGAGACTTGGAGTCTTCGATTGTGGTAGGGTTAGGGGTACTGCAGGTGTTAGGAACCTTTGGCCCTCCTGATGCTGCTAAACTACAAGTCCCATCAGCACCAGCAAGCATGTCCAATGGGCACAGAGGATGGGAGCTGTAGTTAAGAAAATCTTGCTCAATGTCCTCCATCAAAATATTCCAGGACCGTTTTAATCTGTTCTTAGTCGATTTTTATTTTAACTTTTTGAAAGTCTTAAATTATTGTTAATTTTTCTTATTGACGATTTTATTCTTTCTGTAAAGTGCTTTGAGGGTTTTTCTTTTGCAATCAAGCAGTGTATAAGACTTATGAAACGAAAACAATTGTAAAGAAAGATGGTCTTGTCAACAGAGGCCGGTCAGAAAGCAAGACCTCTGAAGCCTATCCAACAGTTTGGGCAGGTTCAGAAACTTCAGGGGTCAAATGTGGCAGGCGGGTGTTATTTTTTTATACTGCTACAACTTCTACATTTATATCCCGCTTTTACTGCAAGGAGCTCAAGGTGGTGAACATGTTTTCCTCCTCCTCCTCTTGCCATTTTATTGCAAACACAACCCTGTGAGGCACGTTAGGCTGAGAAAGGGCAATTGGCCCCAGGTCATCCAGGGCTGTGATTCTGGGGTTATTTTCGTCTTTTTCTTCTTCTTGCCATGCCAGGGGATGACAATTGTGTCCAGCCAGGCTGTGAGCAATGCCAAAAAGCTGCAGTGGCCGCTCAAAGAGATCTCAGCAGGCGTCTACGAAACGGAAGCCCCAGGAGGATACAGGTTCTGCCTGGAAGACGAAACGTCATCAAAGGAAGGTAAAGAGAGGGTGCCATATGATACTCTGTAGTTAGGATGACAGTGGATTCTTCTGCCCGTGGGGATTCAGCCTTCTGAAAAAAAATTCTTTTCCTTCAAGCTTATGCAGGCAAGAATGCCTCTTTCCACAATTGCTAACTGATTTCTGATTTTAATTACCGTATTTTTCGCTCTATAAGACGCACCAGACCACAAGACGCACCTAGTTTTTGGAGGAGGAAAACAAGGAAAAAAATATTCTGAATCTCAGAAGCCAGAACAGCAAGAGGGATCGCTGCGCAGCGAAAGCAGCAATCCCTCTTGCTGTTCTGGCTTCTGGGATAGCTGCGCAGCCTGCATTCACTCCATAAGACGCACACATATTTCCCCTTACTTTTTAGGAGGGAAAAAGTGAGTTTTATAGAGCAAAAAATACGGTATTTGATATGGCTTCCATCGTATTGTTTTTCTGTTCAATTGCTGCAAAGGGCTCAGATTTTTTAAAATAATGAATCAGCAGTACAGGCAACCCCCAGTTGACGCATGTTCAATATCTGTGCTACTGTGCATATGCTCACCCCCAGAAGTGACCTAAAAATGTAACAAAAAGGAGCAAAACTCAGCTGGGTAGGGGTGGAACTGGGTCGGAATAGAGTGTTTGCAGGCTTTTAAAAAGGTGTTTCAAACATACGCAGTTTCACTGACGCGTGCAGTGGCCAGAACATAACCCCTGTGTAAATGCGGGTGGGGGAGAGGCGTTGCCTGTATATAACCAGTTTTTCTAAAGAATAACAATAAAGTTGGGGAGAGGAATTACCAGCCACCAGCCCCAAAGTTCTTGCAATCCTCAATCCTGTGCCTAAAGCCCATCCGTTCCTGAAGACCTTCCGCCCTCCCAGATCCTGTGCTGAAGGTTACTTTGGCCGTGTCCAGCCTGCAGAAATCTGTGGACTACTGGTCCAAGTTCCTGGGCATGAAGCTGTACGAGAAGGACGAAGACAAGCAGAAGGCTCTGCTCGGCTATGGAGATAACCAGGTGAGGCTGAAGGGGCACCAGGCAGCTGAGGGGATCCTCAGGGCATCTTCCAGGTAGGTGTGGCAGAGACAGGGGCCGCCATTCCAGCTTCTGCAGTGGCTGGGCGTCTTTGGTTCTCAGTACCCATCACTGGGTTCCAGGCGCTGTGGTCTAAACCACAGAACCTAGGGCTTGCTAATCAGAAGGTCCGCGGTTCGAATCCCCGTGACAGGGTGAGCTCCCGTTGCTCGGTCCCTGCTCCTGCCAACCTAGCAGTTCGAAAGCACGTCAAAGTGCAAGTAGATAAATAGGTACCACTCCGGCGGGAAGGTAAACGGCGTTTCCGTACGCTGCTCTGGTTTGCCAGAAGCGGCTTAGTCATGCTGGCCACATGACCCGGAAGCTGTATGCCAGCTCCCTCGGCCAATAAAGCAAGATGAGCGCCACAACCCCAGAGTCGTCCGCAACTGGACCTAATGGTCAGGGGTCCCTTTACCTTACCCAGCACTGTTAACAAACTATACAGTACCCAGGATTCCATCGGGGAAGTCATGTGCTTTAAATGGGTGTCATGGATGTCACCGCTCTCTTCGCAAGCCCCACTTCTGCTGTTGTTGCTGCTGCTGCTGCGGCACCAGTCTTCGTTGCAAACCCAATGGCCTGATTTCCTTTTATT